GCAATTACGTAAAGATCTAAAAAACAAAGAAGACGCAATTGCAGCACGTGCATTATTAGGAATGCTGGCAACAGATATTGAACATCAGAAAGGTGCAATTGAATATGACTTGAATGTGGCAGCACAGCAATTCAGCAAGTTATTTTAATTGAAAAATAATAATAACATTTTTTTTGTAGTCAATCATTTCATATGGATGAACGAGACGAAGGAGAACTGAATGGTAAAATAATTATTAGTCTTTTAAAATATATTATTTAAATATAATATTTATTTTATTTTCTTATTGATTATCCATCAGTTTAGATTGCAGTAGATTAAATTCGTATATATTTATTTTAGCGGACGGTTGAGAGTGTAGTTGTGGATGGGTGTGAGTGTATATTATTTATATAAACCCCACCCACACCCTACAATAGTTTTAGGTCGTTGAAGATGCTATTTCCGATGATCAGAATGATCGTCCTGGGAGAAATTTACCAAAGAAATTGACGGTAAGTGAAGAAAAGAAAGAGAAAAATAATCAATCTATAACATATATTTTTGTCTTTTAAATTCATGTACAATGTATAGTGAACACGATATATATATCTTCGTTGAATTGTTAGGAAACGTATGTTTTCAGTTTTATCAAAAATTTATTTATGAATTAATTTCGTTGTTGTTAGATCTTGCAAATCCAGGAAGAGGTGCAGTTACTTCAAAATTTAATTGATCTGCGATCAGCATATGACATAGATTATGGCGACTTAGCTTCGGCAAAGATTAATATACAAGGGAGATTAAGTAATTCATTTGATACATGGTGTAAGTTGTTTTCGTTGATAAATAAGAATTGAATTCTGTTTTTGTAGATACACATATTATGTACATGCTTGAAGGTCAAGAAAATATGTAAATAGTTTATCTGTATATTATTAATTAATTTGTTGAATAAATAGTCTAATCAGAGTATATTTTGAAATTTTTTCAAATGAATAGTTTAAATCGTATATGTTTTATTTTCTTATTGATCGTGCGTCAGCTTAGCTTCTGATAGATTTAATCGGTATTTATTTATGCTAATGGACGGTTTTATTCTATCGTCCATTACAGATTTGATAAAACGAAGAAATGGTGAGAAAGAAAATTTTGCACAGTTAATAGTAGATCTCACTAGAATGACCGTAAGAACGTTAGTAAGTGAGATTTTTTTTATTTTAATTTCTTTTGATTGAACATTCTTTTTTCTACAGACTGTAATTCTGTCTTTATGGGTATTAACAAGTCATTGTTTAAACGTAAGTAGATTGTTTATTAAATAAAACGAGAAAGTTGGCTCAATTGATTAATCCATTTTTTTTTGTATACTCTTTATTATTTGTCGGAATTAGTGCCATTGTTATTGGTGTGTTTACTACTTTGGTGTTTGCTGGGAAAACAGCAGTGAACAAAGATATACTTGATCTTCGTATGAATATCACAATCATCATGAAAGATATTGAAGAAATACTCAAATATGAAGAACTTGCCTATTATTTTACCTGTATGCTGGCGAATCCATGAAAGTTATCGACACGGAAAATTTATCATAACACTATTAAGAATTCATGATTCGCTATGCTCCTATCTAGTCTCAGGTGGACCATTTATCTATTTTCTGGTATCTAGTATAATGGGAATACTCAGTATTCTTGGTGTTTATATCAGCCAAATGGCCTTAATATTAATTATTGGCTGTACTTACATTATATATGGATTTATAATTTTTATTATTGGATTCAAAAAATGTTTTGCAGCATTATCTCCAGAAAGATTATACACGTCGTGATCCATCAATTGTTACTTAAGCAGTAATATAATAATTGTTGTTTTGTTTTTTTTTGGTTTCTAAATAAACATTTCATGTGCCAAATATTTTTTTCTTTTCTTGTTTTTTCCTAAGATTCAATGATGTATAAATAAGAAAACAGACAATTCGAAAAGTAATCAGAAAAGATAATAGACGTTAATCTTTCAATTCATTGGTCATAAAGTGACAATCGAATTTTTTTCGACAGGTCATCCATTCATTTTAGTCAATAATAAAAAAGTATATAAACATTTAATGTACATATATATAGATATATTCTATCCATAACAAAACAACAATATTAATCAAAATCAATATGAGTCAATCAAATATTACTCTTCTCGATCTACCTCATGAAATATTATTGATGATTTTTAAAAAATTGGACAATATGGATGTTCTCTATTCATTATTAGACGTTCATATTCAACAACTTAATCCTATCATACAAGATAAAACTTTTACTAATACTCTTAATTTTATATTAACAACATCAACAGATGATATTGTATCAATTACTACTCCAATACTTGATCGATTTTGTATTAATATATTACCTACAATTGATCACAATATTAAATCTCTTATTCTTGAATCAAAATCTATGGAACGTATTCTTCTTGCTGCTGATTATCCTAATTTAATCAAACTTAAACTCTTCAATTTCAAGGACAATATTGTTTCTTATTATTTTACAGGTAAAAAACTCTCGTAATGATTTGAATATAGATTTTATTCGAAATATTATATACTTAGATGAATCACCATTTCGTCGTATTTGTCGAGAGCAAATTACAGATCTTATGCTTATATATGACAAGAATAATGATATTACAGTACAGAGAGAATATCGAAACGGTATACATGAATATATTTTGAAATTCTTTAACAATTTAAAATATTTATCTATTAATGGACCATCTTCACATTTGATACTTGATGATTCATCTCCAACTACTTGTTTTTCTTCCATTCTTACTAAACTATGTGTTTATGTGTATTGTTTCCAAGATTGTCTTACTTTACTTGATGGTCGTTTGAAACAATTAACAACATTTATTGTTGAGATTGATCATGCAGAACCTTCATCAATTGCTCATAATATGGTAAGTTTATGTTTTATCAGAATATTTTTCAAATTAAAATAATGTAGCTGTTCCGTATTATTATAAATAAACCTCTAATCAATTGTCATATTTATTTAAACTAACTATTTATAGTTAAATATCTATAAGATCGTGATAATCTATTTAATGAACAGATGTATTTGATTTAAATGATTTAACTAATAAGTTTTGATGCATACTGGATTTATTGATATTGAACTATTTTTTAGTCAAAAATCATTTTCTATAAGATAAAAATGAGAATGTATCTTTCTGTATTTTTAATTATATGTAACTATTTGATAATTGAACAAAAGATCAAACTTTTCTATTATTAATTTGCATGTGCATATTTGAAATAATATTATAATATAACAATGTTGATTTGTATTTTTTAGAATAATCTACCAAATTTGACATCTTTCTCAATAGAATATAGATGTAAGACAACTGCATTTGATATTCAAGTTTTACCTCTTCTTCGTCGTATGTCAAATCTTGAAGAATTAACTTTGATTATTTATAATGAAAATCGAACTAGACTTGTTGATGGTACTTATATACATAATCAAATTCTTCTTCATTTACAACGACTTTATAAATTTAACTTTCATATTCGTACGTGCACTGACTTAAATAACGTGACATATGGTTTATCAAGTGACAATATTCAAGAAACTTTTACAAATATAGGATATCGACATGTAAAATGTATTCTATATAATCTCACTTGCATGGTTATATGTCATGCTTTTTCATTACCATTTATTTCTAATCGTCTCGAATACATTGGCAATACATTTCCATCTATTGTTTTTACTGGTGTTACGAAACTATTGGTGTTTGATATATTGCCATTTGAACATGAATTTTTCATTCGAATTGCTCGTTTCTTTCCTTTTTTGAAGGACTTATCTGTTATGAATCGTGGTCGGCAATTGTGTAGATCAAATAATGTTGATTGTGATCATAACCAACAATATCCAGTTATTGAATATCCTTATCTTGATTCACTTCATTTAGAACATTCTTGTATTGATTACGTAGAGCAATTTATTAATGAAACAAAAACTCGTTTACCTCGTCTAAAAATATTAGAAGTCGACTATTGTAAATTAAATACAATAACGAAACAATTTACAAGAGATGTGACAAGACTCAATTGTGCTAAAGTACATCGATTAATTATGGAAAAACAAGTGGTGTTTCCAAAAACCTTTTATGTTTATTTTCCTTTGTTGGAATCTGCTTCTTCTTATTCCTATTACTTTAAAAAATAAAACATACAAATAAATAAAGAATTTTTTTGCAATATTCATTTTTGCAATTCAATATAAATAAATAATAATTATTGAACGGTATGGTGAAGTTGACTACTATGAGATCTTAATTGACAATTATGAGCATAGATTTTCAAGCAATTGATATTGATCGATGATTTCACTGTCGCTAGAATTTATTATGTTTTATTACCCAATCTTGGAATTGTACTTTATAAATTTAGTTGTCAAAAAACGATACCAACTAATACCTATATTGATGTTTTTGTTTTAATTATTTTGAGACAAAATGAGAGAGGAAGATTAGAACAGTTTGATTTTTTTTATGAAAGTATTTGTAAGAATTGAAATATTATTTAAAGATGTAGAAACTAAATGTTATTGATTTTAATTAATATTTCGTAACTTTTAGCTCTTAGCACGAGGATGTGGATAGTGATGGGGATAAAGAGAAGACACCCAAAACCTTACCCACACCTTAGTTAATGGCGGAGCATTACTTGGTTCATATATAATGAAAATCTCTGTTGTATAGTGACGATCATATAAGAAATAAAGCGTTTACATCTATCTATTTGTTTCCTCACCTAAATAACAGCAATGGTCTCTTTTGTTTGATACCTAACTCTTATAAACTACTGCGGAAAGTTTTACCAGCTGTTTTGGAAGGTGAGAAATTGGAATTTGCTATCAGATTCTTTGGACTGAAAGACTACTTCAATGGAAGAGGATATAGACGACTGTGTTGGCATGAGTGCGCTCACAACATTAGCAATTGAACCGCTAAATTTCACAGTTTTATTCGATTGCTTTATTTAGTTGTTCCATCGTATCTACTGAATTATTTGAAAAATTGAATGAAGTCGGTGTGAGTAAAGACTCAGAAGAAAACTCACATCCCATCCCTAAGCCGTCGTTACGCGAATATTCTCAACGAGTGCTACCTGTGATTATTTTCTTCCAGTAGAGAGTCATCGATGTCTGTATCGCGTTACTTGTTTTGTAAACGAGAGATTTGGATCCTACTGATATTGTCACTATTTTCTTCAACAAGATAAAATTATATATATATGAATAGGTTTGACTATTCAGTCGCGGACGAATTGAATCGTAGCGGCAAGCGTTACTTGTATACATAACCAACATATATCCCACGAGCCAGATTTGAAATAGCATAAATTATAATATAAAATGAATAAAAATATGCGATAACAATGAATACTATCCTAAATTATTGATTTCGATAAGTTTAGGAACGTAAGCAAAAATATTAGTCATTATGAACATTAGTGAATATATTTTTTTTGATTATTTATTCTCATTTACAGATCTAAATTCGTTTTTATGATCTTGAAGAATTTGATAAAGAATTATCAATTATGGTATTCATCCAATAAAAGTAAACTGTAAAATTGTAATTGTTTTTTCTGAATAATTTAACAAAAAAAATTTCAAGTGATATATAATATAAAGTATTGGATTGATCGTTCATATTTGTGACATATATTTACTGGATTTTATATTAAATTCTGTTTTCTTATAACTATTTGATGAATTCAATTCTTTTTATATAATTCATGAAAAACTTTCAGTCAGTAACAAAAGTATAAAATGAATTTTATTAAGCTTAAACAGTGCCAACTTTGTTTCATATTCATGGCATTATTAAATATCTATTGAATGTTCAAACTTTCTTTTTGAAGTAGGCACCTTAGAAAACGATGAAAACTATTTATATTAAGAGAATCAAAAGCTAAAATCATTTCGAATTATTTACAAACTATAAATTATCAACGAGTTATATTTTTAAAAACTTTTACTATCAATTTCTATGATAGTGAATTTTATTTAAAGTATAAACTAAGAATTTTAACAGAATACATTAAAAATACTGTTAAGTTTCAAAATGTTCCTATAGATGTCACTTGTATAGTTTTATAAAATATATTAAATAATAAGAGTTTTGATTTTTACTAATTAGAAAATTTAAAACTAAAATTATTTTTCATATAAAAATTAATATTTGTTCAAAATTCTCACCAATCAAATTTTTCACATCAAAATACACACAAAAACAGAAATGATTTCAACTGTTTCTTATATTCTTAATTAATTCTCATCTTACATTCAAATTAAAGATATTTATTAAGTTAGATAAAAAATTGTGAAACTATATTTTAGATGTTGAATTAAATAAGATATGGAAAATGTTGAAGAGATTGAGAATCTTTTATCAATTCATTGGCCACATGTTTTCTCATTAATTGATCCATCGACATCAATAACATTAACAAAACTCTCTAGACATAATTGGTTAATAAAATGTTCAGATCGTTTATCATATGTATTAAAATCATCAGAAACAAATAATTTAGAACTTGAATTAAAATATTTAATTGATTTAAATAAATATTTATCAAATGAATATCGTGTACCAATTCCCATTTTAACAATCAATGGTGAAAAACATGTTAATGAAAAATATTGGTTATATGAATATATAGATGGAAAAGTTTATTCTGATAATGATGTAACACATTTATTTGATGAAAAAGAATTAATATCATTAGCGAAATTAATATCAAAATATCATCAATTTCTTATAACACATTCACAAACTTTATCAACAAATAAAAAAACAACAACACGTGAACATCTTATTAATGAATTAAAACAATCAACTGTAATTCTTTTATTAAATAAATAATCTATATGAAAAAGAGAGAGAGAAAATTAATTTGATTTTTTTATTTAAATAGGAATTAATAACAAATCGAGATGGTATTGATTTAGTCAATCAATATTATTTAGGATGTTATCCATTATTAAAACGTTTATTAGAAGAATCTTTATCACGTCAAGAGAAATCTTCAATTATTCGAAGTTATTTAATTCATCGAAATCTTCGTCCAAGTAAAATAATTTGGTCTAAAACAACAAATGAAGTTATTGGAATATTAGATTTTGAAAATATTAATTATGATACATTATGGAGAGATCTTGCTGTTTGTTTATCAACATTTTGTACATCATCATCACCATCAATCATAACTGATGTTGATAGAATGAGAATATTTATACAAGAATATATGAAACAAATGTCGGGTGGAATTGCTAAAGTTTCATCACAAACTGAACAAGAAGTATTTCATTTAATTGTTGATGAAATTATTTTATGTGCTTGTGAAGATTTTACATTTATTTATTGGCAATATATTCATCAAAATGAAAAATTTCAAGGAATAAAAGCATTAGAATTTTATTATAAAAGAGCTCTATGGCATGCTGAACATGCTATTAAAAAATAA